AATGGCAGGGCAGGGACCTGACAGCAAAGCCGTCCTTTGTCCTCTGTTAGCCAACTGGGCACAGCTGGCCCCAGAGGGGGATGGCACCTGCCCCTGGAGTCCCCATCGGGGCAGGCTGGGCAGACAGGCTGTCGTGGGCCCCTGTCCGGAGGCGGTGTGGGCGGCATGACCTGGCTCTGGAGCCTGTCCTGCCTTCCCTTGGGAGGGACTGCTGCTCCCCGCAGGGCCGAGCATGTGCTAGTCATCAGGGAGGCCTGCTCCTCACCAGAGGTGTGAACGTGCCTGGTGTTGGGACCGGAATGAGCACTTTAATGGACAAGTTGGAATCTGTTTGTGAGCAGTAAATTGTCCCAGTCCCTGGGGCCATTTTCCATCATAAATCTAAACTATTTGGCTCTGCAGATCCCCAGTGCCGCAGCCCAAGCCAGGGCACCAGGAAGGCTGTGGGGAGCTCAGGCCCTGAGCCAAGGTCACAGGCCCCGGCCCACCGCCCGCTCTGCCACCCCTACCGTGCTTGGCACCGAGGGTCCTGCCTCCTCCTTGAAAGCCCGCTCTGGTTCTCAGAGCATGCACTTGCCTGACGGTTCTCGGACCAACGGGCAGGCTGCCTCCTCTCTCCCTGCTACTTGTTCTTTTGCCTCCCACCTGGTCTGGTCAAGGGTCCCTCTCCAGGGGTGCCACCTGCACCCGCAGCCTCAGGGGTCACACTATGTGTATGACTTCAGAGCTGCGTCTCTAAGTCCTGACTTCTCTCCACGTTTCTGCCTGTAAGGTGAGTCCCGCAGGCACCTTAAACTCACACTGTCCCACCTGAACTCTCTTCCCCTCAACTCCTACCCACCCCACAGCAGGCCCAGAGCCTCTCTGAAGTTGCCTTTGGCTCCTCCCTCTCCTAGACTCCCAGGGGCCCCCAAGTCCTGCTTCTGTACCCCCAGAGGTCACATCTCCATCTTCCCTTCTCCATCCTCCTTGGGATCCCAAGTACTAGATCATTTGTCGCAAGAGCCTCCTGGCCATCTTCCTCCCTCCTGTGGTGTAACCCACAGTCTGAGCGATCCTCCCCAGGCCAGGCCCAGAGCGTGCTACTTCCCAACCCAAACACCCTCACATGGCTCCCAATGCCTTGATGTAACTGCCCGGCTCATTAGCATAGATTCACAGATCCCCCTTGAGTCAGCTCTGAAGCCTGCTTTCCAGCCTCATTGCCCCCTCTGGCCCCTTGGAACCTGTGTGCGGCAGCTGTTTCAGGGTCCATGCCACCTGCCTCCTAAATCTGCCTTGCACTTACTAACTCCATGTAAGTGTGGCTGTGACGAAGATGACAATGATGGTGGAATCACAAGGTAGAAGCCACATGTGAAGACCGTCCGGACGCTTAGCGAGTGTGGACCCACACACCAGCCTTGACTCTTTGCATAGTGACTTTGTTTATAAGAGAGAAAAATAAACCTCCACCTTGTGTCAACCACCAACATTTTGGCTTTTCAGTTGCTTGCAGCCTAATCCAACCCTAAACCATACAGGAGCCTTGCAGGTTCACACATATTCCTGCCCACTGTGCCATGTTGTAGTGTTTTGAGACTATGTCTTATGGCTCCTACATAGGCTGTATGCTTCTTGAGGACAGGTAAGCTTCCCGCTCATGGTAGGTGCTCAGAAAGTGTTCATCCATGTTGCGTTGCTATAAAGGAATGCCTGAGATTGGGTAATTTATCAAGAAAAGAGGTTTATTTGGCTCACGGTTCTGTGGACTGTACAAGAAGCATGGCACCAGCATCCGCTTTTGATGAGGGCTTCAGGGAGCTTCCAATCAAGGTGGGAAGTGAAGGGGGAGATGGCGTGTCACGTGGCAAGAGCAAAAGCAAGAGAGAGGAGGTGGTGCCAGGCTCCTTTAAATAACCAGCTCTCGAGTGAACTAATAAATCGAGAACTCGCCCATTATTTCAGGAAGGGCACCAAGCCGTTAGTGAGGGGTCCACCCTCAAGATACAAACATCTCCCTCCAGGCCCCACGTTCAACACTGGGGATCAAATTCTTCAGGGGCAGTGTTCCATAAATTAAAACAACAACAACACCAACAACAAACACACACACAAAAACACTGGGGATCAAATTTCAACTTAAGATTTGGAGGGGCCAAACATCCAAACCATAGCAGAGAGTATTAAACGAATGAAAGAATGATGTTAAAAAATTGTTCTGGTTAGACAGACAAAGAGTTCTTTGGCTGGTTGCAGAAAATCAGTGATAATAATAACAACATGTATCAAGCAGAATGCCCGGTGTTCTAAGTGCATTATATTGTTTAACCCTCATGAAATAAGGAAATAAGGAGAGTTGGCCCTCTATACACTTGAGTTCCATAACTGTGGATTCAATAAATCATGGATCAAAATATAGTTTTTTGGGGAAAAAATGGACGACTGTGCTATGCTATCATCAGCCCCATTTCACAAATGGGGAAACTGGGCTTCAGAGAGATGAGGTCAAGGTTATAGATGCAGCCAGTGGAGCCAGGACTCAAACTCAGGCAGTCTGACTCCAGAGCCCAGAACCTTAACGATTTTGCTGTGAGACTTTCTCAAGTGCTTTCCCCCTGTGAGCTCTTTAGACAGGAGGTTGAGATCACAGAGAACCTGCACAGCCAACAAGAACACACCACATCAGAGTGACCTGGCTTCTTTCGACTTGGGAGATGTGGGTGGAGGGCTGAGCTTCGGGGAGACTGACAGGGAAGAGTCAGGGTTGTCCTGAGGCCAAGGGGGTAAAGATCCACACAGATTACAGAGCTGCCCTGACCCCCGGGGTCTGCCTTCCCCATATGTCCGTACCATTTTTGTTGACACAATGAGCAGCTGGTCCAGCTGGCTAATCTTTAGCAAAATTGTGACATTGGCAGAGTTTGTCTTCATTCCGCTCCTATCTGCTTGTTATTCGATTTTCGGCATCTTATGTTCTGTTTGGGCCTTCACATTCTATCGTAGCAAGGAGAGCTGCATTTCGAAAGATGAAAATAGAGAACACAAAACTTAATCCTCCAAAATGAAAATTTAATGGTAGGATTTTAGGCATCAGAGATTTTCAGGTTGGGGAACTTGCTTCCTCTCTAATCTTTTCCTTTTCCCTCCAGTTCCTCTTCCTTCTGCTGCTGTCTTTTTTTTTTTTCTTTAACCATCCATTTCACACCCCCCTCTTCTTCCAGATGCCAGAGCCTGCGTGCCCTTTAAGGCCCACGTCCAGCCCTGCATGGTCCCACGCAGCCGGTCACCCCCGCCACCCTGGTCATGCCAGGGTCGGGCTCCTGTAGCATTTACACCCTGGGCTGCGCGTTTGGTGCCTCCACGTGTGCTGTGTTAAACTGTTCGTTCCCAGAGGACACAGACCACGTCGAAAGGCCAGGGGCGTCACTGTAGGAATTTCTATTTTGAAAGGCGTTTTGGCCTCTGTGCCCCTTACAGCTCTCTCAGCTCTGAGACTTGAAGCTTCTTGGTTCTTCCCCTCATTTCTCCCATGGCTCCTGCTCCAGTTTTGGGTACGAGATAAGGACTTACGGTGCTGTTACGTCTTCCTCTTTCTGGAAGCAAGGGTGCAGCCCACGAAGGCAATGGTGGGGGGCAAAGCACCTTAGGGTTTCTGAGCCCGAGAAGTTTCCTGGCTGTGCTGGAAGGTCGCTCTGGCGCCCCCTCTGGCCTTGCTGCTGCAGTGCTCCTCCCGGGCCGGTATCTGGGTGGCCTTCTGTCCTGGCCTGGAAACCATAGCTGGCCCTTCCTAAAATGACTCAACATCCAGCTTGGACTCAACTCCAGCCACCCCTAGCTCCAGGAGGCCAGTCCCACAGGGGTCCCAGATTTTCTCAGAAATATCTGCTGCTGAACAGGGACAGCCATGACAGAAATGCTGCAAAATGCAAGCGCAAGCACTTGCAAGTGGTGGTTTTGTGTTTCCAATCCCTACAGCCTCAGTCTGCCAGACTCTGTAACGTCCAGATGCAGTGAGCTCATCTCAGGCAGGAACACGTGTTTCCCCCATGACTTCTCCCGGGACCCGGGTCTGCAGCCACCAGGAAGCTGCTTGCAATGAGGTTAGGACCAGGGAAGAGCATCCTGCCCCCTGGAACCTGTACCCTTGACCCCGGCACCACTGAGAAACATGGGTCCTTGGGGGGACCACATCCTAGACCCAGCTGGAGGAGGTGTTTGGGCTTGGGTTTGAGTTTGCATTGTGACCAAGCACCCTAGGAGATGGCACCCGTGTTCCCAGTGTTCATCTCAGGACCTTCCTGCCTGTCTCCCAACACGCTGGGGTGAAATGACTGGAGTAGGGACCAACAGTACAGTGGGTCTCGGTGACGCACTCCCTCACATTTACTTGACACCCTGCAGTCTTTGCTTCTTTCCAGGCTTGAGTTATTCCTCACTTAGCAAGTTGAACCCATTGCCTGGAACAGCCACCACACCCTGACTCTATGCGCCCCAGCCACGTGGCCCGGGTTCTTCAAGGTGGCTCCACGCTGCCTCCACCTTCCTTCCCTACCCTGCAGCCCTCGGGGGCCTCTTTTTCTCCTCTGAGCTCTTAACTCTCCATGTCTGTACCACTCCCATGTGGCATTAATCCCCATTCAACATGTGACGTTGTTTATTGTCTCATGCGGCTGTGAAGTGTTTGGTATGTGCGTCTTCTGTCCCCAAGCACTCTTTAGACCGGCTTTGTCCCATAGAAATATAATGTGAGCTGTACATGCAACTTAGAATTTTTCAGCAGTCATGTTAAAAACATACAAAAACCAGGCAAAATGAATGTTAATAATATATTTTAGTTAACCTAATATACCAAAAATTATTATCATTTCAATATGGAAACAATATAAAAATTATTAATAAGATATTTTACATTTTTGGTACAAAGTCTTCAAAGTCTGGTATGCATTTTACTGAAAACTCTCGATCTGTATTGAGATTTAATAATGACCTCTCCTTCTCTTCCGTCTGCCACATACCAGGCCAGAGCTGCTCCGTGGGGGGCTCCGAGCTGGAGCCAAAGGAGCGTGGGCATCCCAGAGGACAGCCTGCAACGGCTGGTGGTGGTGCTGACTGACGACAGGCGATCTGGCCATCATTCCATCGGGTGAGCCCTCCTAGGGGTCTGTGGGGACATTGTCAGGGAGGAGCAGGGGGCTTCACAAGGAGGGAAGGCAGTGAGCAGAGCAGGGGACCCGGAGTAAGCAGGCTCTGTGGAGCCTGCAGGGATAGGGGGTATGGACAGAGGAAAAAGGTGGGACTCCATGGGCCCCCAAAAGTGTCTGGACACCCAGATGTTCCAGTGTCATGAGGTGGCCAGGCCCACACCTCAGTGACACACCCACCACCACTGTGTGGGTGGACTCAAAGGCCATAGGAGCCCTACCTCCTCCAGGAAGGCTTCCCAGTCAACTCTCCCTTTGGCCTGAACTCCTGACATTGACACTTGCTGGCACACACGCTGCCACAGCTTGTCTGCTGCTCTGCACAGGTCATGCCCCTCGCCCACCTGTAGTGCTTTGGTGTCAGAGGCCCACCCTGTCTTCTAAATCCCACACAGTCCTGGAGGTGCTCCACACTTCAGGGCTGAACAGAGCTGGGGTGGAGATTGGGAGGGAAGATCTGCAGGCACCCGCAGAGCCACCAAAGCTGCCCCTGTCACCGATGGCCAAAGCTCTGGGAGAAGGGACAAAAGTCCATCCAGTGCCACTTCCCTTCATCCCTCAGAGCAGCCAGCCTGAGCGAGGGAGCTGGAGGAACAGACCTCACTGGTACAGACATCAGCGATCAACCAGAGCTAACCTCAGGCTGTTGAAAGGCGCAGCACAGACACACACAGGTATGTGCAAGGCAGTGGGGCTCCCGCTAAGTGCTGGGCCACACCACCATGGCTGGGCCCAGCAGGGGCAAGGCTCTGAGAGAGAAACCTGAGTTCACAGCCAAGTCCTCTGGGAGAGGTCCCCACCACATTAGAGCACCTGGCTAGAGAGGAGGAGACCCCGACCGAGGGTACCAGCCTCTGACCACAGGCCGAACCCCTATTTCTAGGCATTAACTCCAAAAACTAGAGGTACCATGATCTTTCTTTTCCTTCTTAAGATTTGCAGGATTTTATGGCCAGGCTGGTTTAGTCTGAAGCCCATCTCGTCCAGTGCCGTCATCTTACGGATGAGGAAACCAAAGCAAACCTGAAGACAAGTTGGAGGTAGGGTCTAGTCTCAGGCTCCTCGTCAAAGGCTTCCTTCTTCTCCACCCTCCCCTTGGTCCTTACACTGGTCCCAACTCATGTATTCTCTCTTTCATCCTCTCTCAGGGCTGGAGTCTTTATCCTGATATTCCATCTTCTGAAGAGACAGAGGTCCCCGTGTGTTCTTGACTTCAGCAGCTTCAGAGCAAGCTCTGCACGCCCAATGCGTCTGAGAGCCTCACGGATGGTTAGTCAGGTGTCAGTGATCTGGAGGGGCTCACGCATGGGGCAGAAGATCAGACCCTACGAACCTGTTGAGCCATCCAAAGTCAGACCATGTGTTTGAAGCAACAGAATAGGGTTGATTTAACAAGGCTTGTCCTTAGAGACTACCCTCCCCAACCAACCCCCGCCTACCAGAGTTTGTGCTTGCAATTCAAGTTTCTGGCACCAGATGGCAGTGTTGCTCTGTTATGAATTGCAGACTACTGATTTGGTAGAAAAGTTTTAAAATTCATTCATTCATTCATTCATTCATTCATTCATTCATTCATTCATTCATTCATTCTGCAGATATTTATTGAATGCTTACAATGTGCCAAGCATTCTTCTAGGTACTTGAGTTTACAACAGTGAACTAAACTCAAAAAGCTGTGCCCTTGGGGAGCTTCTTTCTCATGCAGGAGGACAGCGAATGAATGAGGAAAACATTCCTATGTCAGATGCTGATAGTTGCTATGGAGAAAAATAAAGCAGAGAAGAGGGGAAATGAGGGTTGGAATGGGGAAATGTGAAGCTAAAGGGGAGTTTGGGTCAGGGAAACTGAGATCTGGGCAGAGCTATGGAGGCTCCAGGCCGTGGGTGAAGCAGAGAACGTTTGCATGGGAAGGGGCTATAGAGGGAATTTTGTGATATTTGACAGATGGGGAGACTGAGGCCAAGAGAGAGACAATAATCTGCCCAGGTGAAAAATCTGGAGGCTGGTAGCCTAGAGTTCCTGGTCCACCCCATCCCACCCTACTGCCCCACCACGTCCCAAACACCACTTAGTCTTCCCTCAACTTAGCAGGACTGTGAACTCACCAATTGCTGTCTGCTTTTCTTTCTAGGCATGTTTTCTAGAATACTTTTCAGTTACCATGTGTAGTTACCCAGTTCTGGCCAGTGGATATTGGGCAGGAGTGATGTGTACCAATTCCAGGCCTGGCTCCTAAACACTTCCTATATGATTTTCCATGCACCCACCTGTTCCTCCTCTGTACCACTAGAAGCACAGGACTCAGAGCTCTAAGGGATGACGAAGTCACTTAAAGAAGGGACACTGGGTCCTTGCATGACTGCATGGAGACCAGCGCCTCATCACCCTGCTTTGGACCATGGCGTGAGGGCATCTGGCACAGTGAGCCATTGAGATTTGGGGGTTGTTTGTCACAGCAGCTTTCTTACCCTAACTGATACACCCACCATGGCTGAACCTAATGTGAATGCGCATTGCATCAGCCTTAGCTGCCAACACTATGTGGGGCGGATCTAACGTTTCCGTAGACCCTTTCTCACTGTGCCTGGTCATAGCTCCCATTTTTGTTAGAGGAGCCGCCCCTCTTCTTGGTGATGCTGTTTCTTCAGGTACCTCCCTGCCAACCACCCAGAGGTGGGCATGTGATCCAAGTGGCCCTTCTGAGTACACAGTCCTCTTAATGGGTTCAGGGCTACATACATAATGCAGTAAGAATCTTGCTTAAGATTCAGGCAATGGATGCTGGAAAGTGAGTGTCTCTTCCTCTGAGATACTGAGCGATGGGGAAAGAGAGCCTGAAGCTGCTGGAGCTGTTGCCCAAGGACACTAGGAAGAAGCTGTTGGCAGAATGACAGCAACAGGTAGAGGAAGGTATACCAAAGAGCCAGAGAGAAAATCACACTGTGCTACGTCGTTCCAACCTTGCCTGAAGCCAGACCTTCCTTCAATTTCCCCAGTTACAAGAGCCAATTACTTATCTTAACAAAAATTGATCCACTTTGAATTTTGTCACTTAGAGTAGGAGTTCTGATTAATAAATAATTATTGAACTAATGTTTATTGAGCCCTACTGCTCAGTGACATGAGCACTGAAAACTGGGATAAAATGGTGAGCAAATTAGGCAGCAGCCCCAGGGATCTCCTGCCACCATATACAGATACATTTGGCGGGTGCGTTTGATGCCTACGAGAAGTTGTTGAGAAGTTGGGTCTCATTTTTCCACTTCCTGGGTTGCTGGCTTGTCAGGATAAAGGAGGAAATATTTACCTTTTCCTTTACCCTTCCTGAAAGCCCAGCTTTTGTGTTCTTGAGGTTTGAGCTTTGCTTATCATGAGGAAGAAAGTAACAGTCTTGGGTCTGTGTTTCCGGCTAAATGGAGAAGTTGCCAGGCTGGGGTGGGCTGCTCCTGTGATTTGAATGGCCTGTGCCCCTCAGCAGGTGGCAAACAGGGTGTCTGTCAGACATGGTTGGGGGGTGGGCATGGCCTTTAGGGCTTGTGAGGGCTTCTAGACTAACGAGGATGTTCTGCGGGGACAGGGCTGTGGGCACAGAGATCTGCCTCCATAGCCATGCCGAGGTCGGTGCATCCGGGACGGTGGGGCGGGGGCTGCCCTGTGCCTTCCAGAACTGGGCCCCGGATGCCGAGGCTCAGGAGCCTTGGGGAAGGCCCCCAGGTCACGCCTGCCTGCCGCAGCGTGGAGCTCACCCTCCTGCAGGGGCTGTGTGGGCAGCACCAGTGACAACCACGGTGGACGGTTAAGTCCCTACTGTCTCCTTCAGGGGTGGGGCGAGCCCTAGGGTCCTTCCATAACCTTCGTCATCGACTTTCTATAATGTTGACAAGCAAGGGTTTTAACTAAATGTAACTTAATTTGGGAAATTTAAGAAATGTGATATCTATTGAATCCTAAACTTTGTGGTATGATATAATTTGTAATACATTTAATTCCAACTTGTTATAAACTAGGAAGGGGAAATTACTGGGCCCCATGAATCCGTATAACAGGAGGATCCAATCAATTCATGGGCATAAATATTTATTGCTTAGTGGGGGGCTCTCTGTAGGAAATCTCCTTGGCTGAAGTTCAGTCTTAGGTGAAATGGAGTTCTGGGACTCTTGCAGTTCCTGGAATTTCTTTTTTATAGAAACAAGTGGTTACAATCACTTATTATGTGTGTAAGTTTCAGGTTCTCCTGATCTTCATTGTTCAATATCCCAGAGGATATGGGATATTGGAGACCCTTTCCAGGATCCACAGACCAAATTTTAAGCAAGATGCTGGTTGGTGTCATCAAGCATTCAATGCCCTGTGGTGGGGATTGAATAAGGTCTCGGCCTGCGTACTTGGAATGGCCAGACTGGATGATCTTATTCAGTCCCTGCTACAACCTCCTGGGGTAAATATGATTATTATCATTTTACAGATGAGCAACCGATGTAGAAGCAGGTAAATTTAAAGTTGTGGTAGACAGTCTGTCCAAAGTTATCTCCCCACAACTTGATACTGGGTTTTGGGAAGTGGGGATAAGAAAGCTTCTTCATATCTGATCAAATAAAAAAAGCACATGATGAGCACTCTTTCCACCTTGATCATCACCCTACACCCTGACTTTGGAAGGTTTCTTAAACAGATGTGATATCTGAAGCTGTGGCAGCCACCTTGTGACCATAAGAGGAAGATGGAGACAATTTGGAGAAGCTGGCGTCTTGGAGTTGCAAATCTACCTTGAGAAATGCCTACCTCTAGACTAGCAGCCAGTAACTTTCCTGTGGCTTAAGTCCCTGTTAGTCATAGCTTCTGTTACTTCCAGAAAGACTCATAGGCTCTGTTCCCAGCCCTGTTGGGGGGCTGAGGATGGGTTGGTAGATGTCATCCTTAGAGTACAGACAAGACCTAGAGGGGTTAAGGACTTGCCTGAGGTGTCCTCAGGTGGAAGAACATGCTATCTCAGGGGGTGGCTGAGCAAAGAGTGAGCATGGCTGTGGGTTAGACAGGGGATGACCTGGGGCAGGGTGGGGCAGGCTGGAACCCCGGAAGAGGAGCGGGGAGCCTGTGCAAGTTTTGTGAAGGGGTAGGCGGAGGAGGCACAGGGAAGATGTGGGGGGACTTCGGCCAGAAAGCATGCATGCAAACTCGCAGGTGAAACAACAAAAGGCAGACCGCCATCCAGCAGTGACTTCCTGTGGCTGTGCTGCAGAGGACCTGCAGGAAGGAAGGAAAGGCAGTGGCTGGGATTCAGCTTTGACTATAAGGACCTTAATTTAGATCAGACATCCAGGAAGACGTTAGGAAATGCACTAGCAGCAATCTCTCTGTGCAACGCTTTGTCCTGCAGAGGCACAGCCAGCTGCAATTTCTTATTTGACCCGCCGATGGTCCTTTGTGGTAGGCAGGGGTGAGAACGTCCATTTACGGGTGAGGGAACGGTGGCAGAAAGCCACATGGCGGAGCAAAGCCGAGAACCCTGCTCCCATGAGCCCTGGTCTCAGTCACCTTTCTGGACCAGCTGGTGTGCCGGCTCCCCTAGGGGGAAATGTAGCCTTGATTTGTAGCATTTGCTCATTTCCATAGTGTAAATAGTCCCACCACGGGTGATTTGGCCAACATTTTAACAACTTTCTTGCAAAACTGCTGGCATTTAACATTGGCTCTCAGAGCCCGCATGAACTTGCTGCACACACAGTAGACCCTGCCGGCCACGGCCCCGCCCCACTCACCCATCCACTGACTTGGTGAGGGCCCACGGGCCCTGCTTCCTCCTGGTGACCGGCCTGTCTCTCTCCCACCTGCCCCTGGCTTATGGCCTTTCAGCTCTTGGCCCCACAACTTGGCGCTGCCTTGTGTGCCTGACCTTGTTTCTGGTTTGTCGCCTCTGCTATCCCCTAATCCTGACCCCTAAATTCCTGCCCCTGGTCCTTCATGGTGACTTGCTGGATGCTTTGGTGTGGGGCCTGCTCCCTCTTCCCTCAGCCATGGCTGCCCCTGGTCCCTGCCCCCAGCCCAGGTCTGCCTGCCGGATGAGATTGCACCCCACGGAATCCTGGCAGCAGGATGTCTGGATGCTTACAGATGAAAACGTCCTGGGAGCTCATTCTGAAGTTCTTTCCTTTCCAAATGGCCCACTGTTCCCTTACAAACTCTGAGACCCCTGTAAAGACCAGATTGCCTCCGATCTTTTTCACTGCAACCTCTCCCCTGCCTGGATTTGCTTACTCTCTCTTCTTCGCCAAAAGTGATGACCCAACTTGAGCCCCGGCTCCTCCAGCTCTCTGTCCTTCCCAGCCCTCCCCTCCAGATCCATCCCATCTGGCGTCTGCATCTGCTGTCCTGTGCCCCAAACCTACTCCGTCCTCTCTCCCTTCCTTTATTAAGATCTTATCACTGTTCCACACCCAAACCCTAATCACCACTACCAAGGCTTAGGTTGAGCCCCACCACCTCCCAAGCCCACCCCTGAGGTCCCACAGCACTTCCAGCAGAACTCCTCAGCACGGTC